GGCTGCTTCCAAGCGTTCTCACTTGTAGTGTCAAACCTGGCAAGCGACCTCTGATAATGTTGTGGGCAGGAGTACGTACTCGTCTATTTGTACTTGGACTTTTGGTACACCAAGGGTACCCTGGGCCGAACTCTTTTTTTTCTTAGCCGTCCACTGACATAGTCTGGTAAACCATTATCAATAGCTATGTTTTCTCTCACCTCATCTAATAAACCCTCGTCGTCAGGATCAGAATCACTTACAGTAGGATCACTGCCACTGTCGTCATTGGGGAGTACATAGTCCGGATCAGCATCCGAATCATCCACATCGCTTTCCTCAGAAGAACTCAATTCAACATCTCTAAGCAATCTATTTATCATATCTGGGAAATTTCGATTGTCTGGCCGAACTCCAGAACTTGTGCTAGGGCGATCCATTTTATCGCTCACTAAGTAGGATTTGGATATGTAATATAAAATCTGAATAAACTACACAAATAAAGCTAAATTACTTTTACAATTAATAGTCAGCTATTAATTTCACATGCTTCACCACCAACTCACAAACCACTAACAGAGCTAACCGGTATCTGAGACCAAGCACTAGATCACACAATCAGAGCTGTCCGGTACGCGAGACCGGTAGACTTTCAAAAATCAAATCAAATCATTTATTCAGCCAGAATTAACAATATTACAAGTTGTATTGGCTAAGTCAAAATGAAATAAAAGTTGGATTCATGTACTTAAGAACTATTTACAAATATACAATCTTATACAATATGTGATGATGTGGAGTAGTAAGAGTGTAACGAAGATACCTGGGCCCTATATATCTTCCTCTAACCACTGCCACATCACGCACATTTCCTGTCATTACCCAACTCTATTGCAAGGAATTAATCTAACTCGTCAAAGTGCACAATATTACCTTAGCTGCCTATCACAGCCAGCTTTTATGTTCTTAATGTCTCTAATTATAATATAATGAACAGAGAAATATATATATATATGGACTTATTCTAATTCGTGAAAAAGGTAACTAGATTTAGCAAATGTGAATTCTAAATTTGTGATATTAATTGCCAGACCACGACCATTCTAGAACCCAATAAATTACATAATTTAATTACTACCTACCCTAGCCTACACCCTTCCCCAACCCCTACGAAACTATCTAGACATATTCTAATTTAAGGTACTTATCCGGACTAAGACGTGTTGATGGCAGAGACGGAGACACTACACTACTCTCCTGGCTCGCTGCGCGTGCCTTCCCGGGCCGACTGCGCGCGCATCGTCGTCACGTGACTTGCGCTATTGTAGCGATCCGCTACAAATATACAATGGTGCAGATTTATATATAAGTATTTGCATCACTATTAATGGAACTGAGTTTAGATGTAAATTCTTGGACGCTATAACAGGTAAACTTAATCAACAAAGATTTTAATTGTCTTTTAAATTTTAACAGGTTTGGTTCAAGTTTAGGAAAAAGTGGAAGTGAATTAAAAAGTGTTATGCCATTGTACAGTAAGTGTTTCTTGAAGAAGGTTGTTGAATGTTTAGGAATAGGTAATGTGTGTGAATTGCGCAATGTGTATTGTTTTTTTACAGAAAAATCAAATTTAGAAAATTCCTGTTTCACAAATGTTAAAGATTCAAGAATGTAAATGGATGGGAATGTCAAAATCTTTGAATTGAAAAAATATTGTCGGCAGGATTTGCGCTTTTTTAGAGAGAAAATAGTTCTCACAGCCATTTTTTGGAGTTTAAACAACATTTTAGTTTGCTGGCACTCACATCCCCATATAGGAACGGCGTATGCTAAGTGGGGATAAATGAGCCAACATTACTCATCCTATCGAGCAATAAGTTATGGTCCACTGTGTCGAACGCCTTGCTCAAGTCGAAAAACAAACCAGCCGAGTAGTTTGCAGCATCTAATTCACAAACCACCTCATTTATCAGTTGAAACATCGCTGAGGTAGTAGATTTACCCTTAGTAAATCCATGCTGGTTTCTGGATATAATATTATTTATTGTCAAAAAGTCCCATAGCCTAATCACCATGATTTTTTCAAATATCTTTGAAAATACAGACACAACTGATATGGGCCTATAGCTGTTGCAGAGCTTTGGATCTCCCTTTTTATATATAGGTCTGACCACTGACACCTTCAGCGCATCAGGAAATGATCCACTGGTGAATGACATATTAATTAAATGGCATAGAGGTTTTACCAGATATGATGCAACCTTTTTTAGTAAATATGGAGATATTTCATCAGCCGCTGAAGACTTTTTGTTTTTTAAGCCTTTGATGATATTCAAAACTTCTTTTTCGGTAGTTTGATGTAGAAAGAGTGAATTAAAATATTTCTTATTTATATCTGTATTTATGGATGAAGCTGACTTTGAGTCTTTGCCTGTGTCTGAAAAGAAACTGTTAAACTAATTGGAAATGTCTTTAGGGTCTGTGATGTCTTCACCATTATCAGTTTTAAGAGATATTTCGGTGTAACTTTTTTTGGCTGATGGTCGTTTATTGTTTATCATATTCCATAGAACCTTAGCTTTATTGTCTGATTTTTTTATTCTGCGTAGAGTGTCTTCTGACTTAGTTTTTCTTATTAGGCGTCTATACTGATTTTTTACATTTTTGTAATAGTGAACCAGGTAGTTAGAAGATTCAAGATTTTTTGTTTTATTGTATAGGGCAAACAGCTGCTCCTTCAATTTTGTTATCTCAGGCGACTGAATCTTTTTACTATACGTATTTTTATTGATTTTATTGTGCTTTTTGGAGAAGGAAATTTCAAATGAATATTTAACCTTGGACAGAAATTTGTCAAACTTGGTTTGCAAGTCTGCTGCATTAAATACTTCATCCCAATTTTCTTTAGAAATTAGGTATGTAAACAAGTCAATGTTAGAGTTGGAAAACAATCTTTCATACTTAAAGCGGGCTTTCGGAGCTAAGGGAGTATTGATATGCAGAGTCGCTGTTTGAGCGCTGTGATCTGATAAGCCTGCGGATATTACAGACCCCTCGACGTTGGTTATGTTTGTAAAAACGTGGTCTATGAGACTACGAGACCCATTGACTTCCCTAGTATAGGTTTTTATAATATTATGCAAATCAAATGATGCCATGTTTGACGTAAGCTGTTGAGCGAGAAGTGTATCACAACACAAGCAAGATTGATGTTTAAATCACCCATAACTAAGATTGCACGGTGGCGATTATAATACTTGTTGATACATTCAGTTATTCTACTAAAGAAGTCTGTGTGCGTGTCGATCCTTAATCGATCCTTCACTAACAAACGACTCACTCAAACTGAAATATGAGCATTACGCAGGATTGGGGGGGAGATTGGAGGAAGCTACTGGCGCGCGCGTTCACCAAGGTCAAGCAGGGTTGCCACACTAGGAAAATCAAAATTACTTTAGGTCCCTCAGACCGGTAGCTCGGTAAAGGTGTTAAGTAAAAAGTAAACAAAAGACTTGTAACACCATCCACAGTATACTAGCAAATTATAACATACAGGGTGGTCGAAAAGTCACGTTAACCAATATTGCAGTACCTAGTTCACTGTTGTGTAGGCCTCCATTCAAACATTCGACTGATCTGTAAATATATTCGTACGTAAGTAGTAAAGAAACAGTGGGAGAAGAGAATCAAGCCACATTCTCCTTTACCCCACCACCGTAGAACACCAATTAAATTTTATCTTTAGTGTAAAGGGACTTTTTGGCCACCCCGTACAGTACAAAGTGATAAACATCAGTTGTAACTATTTGTTGCAAAGATAAAATTGAAGATTACTCAATATATGGAAAAATAGAGCAAGTCAGTAGTGATGAGTGATGTGTGTTTTGTGTTGGTGCCATTTCAGTGCACTGGCGGCAACTCAATGTTTTACTCTGATTCAAGGGTAGATTTTACAATTTGTATGCACTCTTTTTTATAATTTACATAACTTTGAGAGCTGTATTCATAATAAATTAAAATTCCACTTGAACTTAAAGTAAAAACCAAAATTAGTTGTAAAAAAAATGAGTCCTTTATATTGCTTTTACAATCCTAATAAACGGTCTCCTGGTACTGATATTTTATGGAGAAAAGCACAAAAATTGTACTCACTTCTTTTTACAGCATATGGAGTTATACCATTTAATTACTGTTAAAAGGACCATAACATACTAAATTGTTTAAGCCGTTTTTTTGTTCAAAAACCAATTTTTTTCATTATTGTATGGGGTTTTATGGGTAAATCGCCTTAAACAATTAAAATTTTTTAAATGAAAAATATCTGGTGATACTATGGGTATATCCATGGGTACCCACATAGGCCTAAAGTTACCAAATTTAATTTAAATCAGACCACATGTCTAGTCTGTAGCTCTGTAGGCTTACACTTTAATACAAACACACATACATCACTTTGAAAACCACGTTTTTAGGTTCAGGGGTACTCAAAACGGATATTTCCACTCAAACTCAAAAACTTGTACAAAAACAATACTTTCTCCATGTATGTACTATGTAGGCTGTAGGGGGAGAAAGTAAAAAAAATTGATTACACTCGCACATAAAAATTAGGATTTAGAATAATTTTTTTTTCATTTTTTTCTAAAATGCACACATCTTACGAAAGGGCTTTAAGCAACATTGCAGTTACCAGTCATCAAGTGTGTATGAGTTGGATCATAAACTACACAACATTACTGTAATCATATCTGTCGCGGTGACACACACTTCAGGAGTATCACATTGGAATTTGAATGAGTTTTTCTCCTTGATAGTGAAATAATTGAATTTAAAATTAAATATACCGTATAGACCTATTTTGCTTGGAATATTTAAACTAAGTAAGTTACAAGCCTACTTAAAAATAAGTGTATTTTAGGAACTAATGCCTACTGCATAACAATCTTTCCAAAACAAAGTTAACATTATAAATTAAATTTTTTCTGTCTTTACTCTTAGCCTATTTATTTATATTTTTTCAGACTACTCTAAGCATCTACCTGGGATTCTTGCTGTTTGAAGATTTGCCCACTTCCATGATAGTTTGCGGACTGCTTGCTCAGGTCGCTCATCTGTTGATTCTTCAGACATTTCCCTATGTCTCCCTGTCTTCACCATCATTCATATTTGCTGTGATCTTGCTTCTAGTCAACCACTACCTAGCGTTTAAATACTTCAATAGTATTTATCACTCATTTTCTGAGGTGGGTAAATTGTCATTACTTGAAATGGTTGTTTTCTATTCCAGCGTTAAACATTGTCACTAGTTTTCTCTTTCATATAAAGTTAAGCTGTACAATAGACCGAGGTGATTGCCAGGTTGGCAACTCCAGGGTCTCAGTTTTAATCCATTACCTTGTTGGTAGTTATTAATTAGTTTTTACGCCAAACAACAAACATTGTAGAAATCAGTAGTTCGAAAGTTAAATTTCTGAATTTTACACTGAACAAAATAATTACCAGGCTAATCGTTTAATGTTTAAAAGTCCTAATGTTTGATGCCAAACGTCTTTTGGCTTATTCCTTTTATAACCTTACCTTTAAAGTGGTTTTGTTTCTAGACCATATAATAACAGAGTTGTATAGTTAAGACCTGTTTCAAAAATCTAGCCATTGAAAATTAGCCTAATTGTTTGTTTATCAAACATAATCCAGACTTTACAAATGGAGATTTAGCATAGTACAAGGATCTTTAGCATTTAAGAAATGTGTTGCTCGTTCGAGAAAAATCAATATGAAAAAAATGTTTTATTCTGATTATTACAGGTAGGCCTAACACAAATTCTCTGAGAAAATTACTGAATTATCCAGAAAGTAAACTAATGTGTTTTGAAATAAACTATATACAAATTGAAAAAAATATATTATATATATTTTGAAGCTAAAGTCTTGAGGGCTATTTTCCTACATAATCACCATTTAAATTTAATCAATAATCGTCACTTAGTACGAGGCATGTTTTTTAAGTAAGTACCGTTTTTAAATTGCTCCGTTCCAGCGCTGCGATTGGCATTTTGGACACTTTCGCTGTATATGTGCATCATTGGCAAGCCCTAGCCGGAAATTCCACAACAATCGACCGTGTTTACATCCGGTTTCGAGCATTCAAAATGGTGCCGCCAATTGAGACTGCCGCCGACTGTGAAGTGTGCGCTGTAATTAGATTTTTAAGTGTTAAAGGGGTGAAAGCCATAGAAATTTATCGACAGATTAGTGAGGTGTATGGCCAGAACATTATGAGTGCCGGAATGGTATGCAATTGGGTAAGGGCATCTAAAGACGGCCCCACCAACGTCCATCATGAGCAACGCACTGGGCGGCGTCACTGTCCCCCGTACCCAATGCGTCGCTCATCATGAACGTTGGTGGGGCCGTCTTTAGATGCCCTTACCCACTTGCGAACCATTCTTCCACCACTCACGATGTTCTCGCCATACACCTCACTAATCTGGCAATAAATTTCAATGGCTTTCACACCTTTAGCACTTAAAAATCTAATTACAGCGCGCACTTCACAGTCGGCGGCAGTCTCAATTGGCGGCACCATTTTAAATGCTCGAAACCGGATGTAAACATGGCCGATTGATGTCGAATTTCCGGCTACGGCTTGCCAATTGATGCACATACACAGCGAAAGTGTTCAAAACGCCATTCGCAGCGCTGGAACGGAGCAATTTAAAAACGGTACTTACTTAAAAAACGTGCCTCGTACAAGCTTTTCAATGCCCTCTTTGTAGAAATCTGCCTCTTGCGTGGTTAACCACTGATACGAGGACGTGAAAACCGGCATGGAGTTCAGCGTCAATGTGAAAGTGTTGCGTAGCGAGCAATGTCTTCATCGCTGGGAACGGATGATAGTTGCTCGGCGCCAAATTTGTTTACTCATTGTTTCTTGGCCCTACATATCACAAAAATGGCGATAAATTTCAATTGGTTTGTAATTTTTTCTAACAAAATCCTTATCACACCATGCACTTCACAACTCGTGGAATTTCAATCGCAGCGCTCATTTCAAAACTCACTGTATAAAAAGCATAGGAGACACGATACTCTAGCTACCATGGTTGGTTGCGTACTGAGTGTGGAAACATTCTAATGCCAAGTTAGCAGTCCTAGCCCCTCCCACATCCACGACAGACCAAAACATCACTTTCTGGATAGCCCTCGTATTATCTATGTATTTTAAACATTTCTAACAGAACCATATGATTTTAGGTGATGGCATACTTCACACTCTGCCTTTGGCTTGTACCATTTGCCCTGTTCGTCTCATTGTCAGCCAATGAAAATGTTCTACCAACAATATCAGAATCAACACCTTTACTGGGTAAGTTCAACAAACCACTCTCCTTTGAAGATAAAGTGTTGTGTTGGTATTGCATGCTGTACCGAGCTGTCTACCTGGCAGATGTGTGTGGTACGCAAAGTATATTATGTAGCCTACACATGTAAGGTTTTGTAATTTTGTTTTGCCTAGGAATGTATAGGGTGTTTTAGTTGATTAGTTGATACTTTAAAAACCTTACAACTTGAATACTCCTCGGATTTGTTGAAGTGGAAGATTACAATTAACAATGGTGGCTTCACTGGTAGGTAGTAGCTTTAAGAGGTTGGATAATGGAGGCTACTCTAGAATATTTTGAATCAGTCAGGAGTTGGGTACAATTTCTTCCCTAAAAATAAGTAGAAAAACCTATATCCGTTCAAAACTAAACCATTAAAAATATCCTGCGTCACCTAAGAAACTGGACAGATGTTTTTTTTTTTGCTAAAGAAGGTAATATAATTGGGTTAAGGTCAAGACAACTTAGTAGTATTTTAAATATTGAACACAACTATATTCTGCCATTGCTTTCATTTTAGAATACTCATGATCATACCTGCAAAACCAACTATTGACTAAGGACCCAAAGCACGAAGAGGAAGTTTCAACTGTCGCAAATGAAATAGAAAATCTAATATGTTTGAATAAAAATTGAACCTTTACAATTAAAATAATTTTTTGGGGTTGTAGTAGGAATATTGTACAAGACTATATTGTAAAATATCAATTAGTTGAAACACTTGTCGCCAGGGCCGGCCCGACCTGTTCTAACCTCTCTGATCAGGCTTGAGTCCAGCTTTTTCTTCATAATTTTATGGTTTTCTAATTGCAAACTTATGATAATTTTGTACTTTTCAGGTGGGGACAATGATGTGGTGACAAATTATTTTTCAACCCGCAATAAAAAATATGGATTGCTCACATTTTTTAACTACGCCAAAGACTCAATACTTCCTCAAAGAAGCAAGAAGACTTTTTAAATAGGTTTTCTTAGTGTGTATATACTCCCTCTATCACCATGTGATATTGTACTTTGTTGTGTATATATTATCGTAAGGTGTATTTTTATTTTCAGTTGTTCGATTGTAGCTTTGACCCTTATTAAAAACAAGACATTATCTATACAAAATTGTATTTTAGTCATGGGAACCTTTGCCTATGCTTCCTGTGCTCCTCTCTTAATTAATTTCATTCGACCAAAATCAAATGGAAATTATTGTTTTACACACTAAACCTTAGGTCATGACTCACCAAGTGATCCAGTGAGTGAAGTGGCTCACTGTGAAGGATAGTCATTAATATTTATGTAAAAGAATTTATTTATAAAAATAAACTCATCTGCCTTAAAAAATAAGGTTGCCAATGACACAGAAAAAAAAAAAATGTTTATGTTAAATGTTTATGTTAAAATATCTTCTATCTGTTAGAGTAAGGACACTTATACAATTTTTTCCCCTAACAGTAGATATTATGCCCCTGGTTGCCTAGGTTCTATTGTATTGCCTATTTAATTGGCATGATTAAAAACCTCTATGTTTATGATGTTTAACTTAAGAATAGGCTATACAATCAACACAATGAGATTGTTTGAAACAAACTTTAATAAAAATATATACTGATAACACATACCTATCACAAATAATATAGTGAGCTAAAAATTACAATGTATAATAAGACATGGATATTTTTATCATTTTTCATAAGGCGCTAAAATGCCAAGATCGCCAATTGTTCTATTTGTGCTGGTAGTAAGCACGGACAAGAGGGCATCACCTATGCAACTTATCACTCTTCAGCTCTGGCACCACCAACATGGATGGCATTCAGCAGTCTGTCAGCAGGTAAGATCTCCTCCCTGAGAGAGGCTAGCAGAGACGAGGTCACGTCACTCTCCTCAGCCTTCAAACAGAACAAATGGAGGTCAATGTGTCAAACACTACAAATTATCTTTGCAGAAAAAAACACAATGTTGTATTAATGACAACAAAAGTCGTCAATGAATAAAGGCTTATCAGTAGAATATTTCATTAAAAAATATTCACCCTACAAACAATTTTTTTTTACACTCTCTTACCTGGACAGGAAAAAACTGGAGTTTACTGGTTAAAAGGTACAGTCTGTCTGTGATAGAGTACACCTAATGTCAAATTACCAACTTGGTATCAAAATGAAACAACGATAACAATAATAAGGATAATAGTATATTATGTTAATAGGCCGGAAAATAGGTGTTTACCAAGTATGGTTGTTCCCAAGTGATGTACAGTACAATATTTTTCCTACAGTCACCCGACAAAGTTGGCTTCCTTGTACTGTTTATAGTACAGAAAGCTGCTAATTGCTGCATATTTATACTTTGTCGTGCGGTTTATACTTTGGCGCACATCAGGATTCCGACGAAACAACACAAAACAGTGTGGTTCTAATATGCACGTAATCCGTGTACGCTTGGAAATAGGTTGGCAACACTTAAAGATAATAATACTATAAGCAGCTGATTGACTATTATAACTACGATTTAACCTTATTCTTAAACGACATGGTATATTAGGTGAGGTCCATACTTCAGTATGATAATATTTTTGTTGGGCATCACTCACCTTATTGAAGTCACGAGAACGTAGTCCTTGTCATGTCACAATCATACACAGTTCATTGCACATAAAAATATACAAAATAAAAATAAAAATAAATCCAAATTTAAAATATCAGACAAAAGTTCTCAACACCGACGTTTCGCCGCACCAAAATCAACGTGCGGCGTTTTCAAGGTTATTCCTCTTCTCACGCAATCGTTGTGAGCGCCTAACCACGACTGACGACCCCGGTGGTGGAGGAGGGGGAGGGGGGACTCTGTTATCAAGAACAGCTGATGGCATTATCTTCTTTTGTTTAGATTTTTCTATGCATCCTTTAATTTCTTTCTCTATTAGTGTATTGTAAACCGGGCTGATATCAATGGATGCGTTGGCTAATGAATCTTGATCTGAAGTAATAAACAAAGCCTCAATAATATTCCTTTTCTTCCAATTAGGCTCCTTGTATAATATACAGCTTTCCTCCCACTTTATACAATGCCCGGTGTCATGAACGTGTTCAGATATTTTTGAACCATAGGTTACACGTGTATCAACTTTTTTCATGTGTTCATGAACCCGTATGAGAGCCGGTCTTGAAGTTTGACCTACATAGCTACGTTTACACGAGCATGGGACCTTGTACACCACGTTTTTATTGTCATTACCACAGTTAGGAGGTAATGACAATAAAAACGTGGTGTACAAGGTGTATAGTGTATTTTTTCGGTAAAGTAAAAAAAATTAAAAAAAATGATTTTTTTTTAATTTTAAAAGCGGCCTCGGTATTTTTTTCCCTACGGAATTCATGGGAAATATATAACATGTTAGGAAAATTTTTTTTAAATAAGTTTTTGGGGCAAAATATAATAACAAACGGAGAACAGAAAAAATTGAAAACCGTACAGTGTTAGTTTGTGTTGTAAAAAGTTATATAATACATGTGTATTCTAATAATGATATACAAGCTGCTATACCCGTGCTTTGCAACGGGAAGAAAATGTGACTTAGAGAGCTAGTAGTGCTGATGTGTGTTTTAAAATACAGCTCTACAACTCTATGATTTAGTTTGAAAATATAAACTGATTTAAGTGTAAACCTATTTACTTTCAAACCCCTACTTTTAATGTTAATAGATCCAAAAGAACATGAAAACATACCTTAGTGTAGCAATAGCATCAATTGCTTCATATTGAAACGTATATAACCTTTTTTAAAACCAAACGAACATAAACATCTTGTAGTGTATTCAATTACCTACATTAAAATGTATAACACGTTGGGTAACAATTTTTTTTTGACGTGCTAGGGGCATAATAATATAAATAAACGGAAAACCGCAAAATACAACCGCAAGAAAATACAACCTTTTATAAACACAATTTGACACTATTCAGCAAATATTCATGCATAATAAAATGCATGAAGATTACTGTTATAAACACATACTCGTATCTCTAAAAATACGAAATAATAACGAATTTAGTAATCAATTGCGGATCAAACGAGGGCGAAAACTCACCAGCAACAACACGCAATGGCGAATACAAGGCACTTTGTGTATGAGACCTTGACAGTAGTGACACACTTTCGTCGTCTTAGTCAGAGAAAACGGAAATAACCCTGAGCGCAGGGCTGCCACTATCACAAGCTACATTTCTTCCTCTTCAAAATGACATATTATATGACTAGTAATAATAACTTACACTGTATGTAATTCGTTATTTGCATACCGTCACCTTGTGACGGTTGGCCATTTGTTATGAATTTCGAAAACAGCTGTTTTCATAAATTGTACCGATTGTCCAATCAATATTTAGTTCTAAATATCACTACCACAAAGAAGATAAAATCAATGGCTATCCAGTGGTACCACCCGCAACATCCCAAGACAAAAATTACCTGAGCAGGGTAATGCCAAACAAGACGTGTTTTGCCAGTTCCCAAGTGTCGGCTGCAAAAGTCGTGCCACGCCAAAAATTCATTTGATATCTAATCGTTGTGACATTTTTATAATATACCTGCTACAGGGTTTGTTTATGTAATAAAATGAAAGTTCAGAATGTGATCTTTTGAATGGTATAAATATTGTTCTCATCTGAGTTGATTATTAGGGTTTTTTTACCGTTAAAATAATTTCGGCCCATACCGTCAGGTTGTGACGGTGGCCATTCTAAGCATCAAGGGCAAACCGTCACCCCGTGAACGTTGGCCACTGCTAGGTTTAAGAGCAAGTGGGCCACAAGTATATCCATATTATGTTTTTACCAAGCATAAAGTAACCTCTCTGAAAAGTCTGCAGTAAATTCCAATTTTCCAGCTTTATGACTTTCCAAATCACTCACATATTTTTACATACAAATTAATAAACATGTAATTCAGTTGCTGCAAACGAGTTATTATTCTATTAATCGAAAACATGGCAATAATCTCATGAACCTATGATGATCTGTCTTGAATAGTATAATAAAGTATAGGCAAATGTGGTAAAAAGGCAGAAACCAACCCATAAAATAGGTATAGGCCCTAAGTTAAATCGATAAGAAATAATTTTAAGAGTTACTGTGATATTAGGATTTTCCACTGATTTCGTAATAGAACAATACATTGCAAAACATGACACGATGCAGAAGAAAATCAATCTGAAAAAACCATTGCAAATACTTCATTTTGACCAATTCAGTAAATCACAATATTAAAAAGTAGTGTAAAATTATGCATATGGTTGTACTGTAATGTATACAAATCTGAAGAGGAATTTTTAAAGGCCTCTGGGACAGAGCCCCAAGGGAATTTACCTAATTTCTCTTTTGATGGCTCATCTACAGACCAAGATCTTTCTTTTGACACCCCTACCAAGTTTCTACGCCCAGCCGTTCTCTCAAATTAGCTGTGACAAAAATCTCATTTTTCTCCATAAGAATAACATGGGAATGGAATTTTAAAGGCCACTGGGGCAAAGCCCCAAAGGAATTTATCTCGTTCCTCTTTTGATGGCTCATCTACAGACCAAGACCTTTCTTTAGACACCCCTACCATGTTTCTACGCCCAGCGAGTCCCTCAAGTTAGCTGTGACAAAGAAAAACAGTTTCAAATTAATATACATGGATAATTCCAAATGAATAGCACTTCATTATGTTATGTTTTTAGGAATTGCCTGTTATAACCGACCTTTTGAGTTATCCCGACCTAGGTCTGGTCCCATTATGGTCGGTTAAGAGGGGGCCTACTGTATTTTTGATTCCACCACATAGTATAACACATTTACACAAGATATTTTCACTAAAAGATGCAATAAGTACACTAGTCCTAGGTTATGCCTGTATAATTTTCATGTTATGTGTGTTTAACTGTTTTTTACAGTAGGTTTCGAGACCCACATTATTCTCTTAAGTATTCTTACCCCATTGCG